ACCTTGTTTCTCACTTTGATTTTTTATGATGTCATAAATATTCTGGACGTTCATTCAGTATTCATCACTACTCGGTGCAAACAAATTGGCATGTAATTTATAATTGGAAGTTTTTGCAGGCTTGTGTACTACTAAGTAATATTATACTTACTGGAACAAAAATAGAAGGCATTTGATATTAACAATTGTAGAATCGTATTGACCACTCCTACATGTTCTAATTTATGAAATTTGGATAATTGTCAGAAATTGTGAAAGGGTGTGTAAAATTAGTAAGACGGAATAATTTACGTTGCTGAATTTGACTCTTTAGCGTTTTTATGTCTAACCCAATCTGTGATATTGCGCAAACATTGTTGAACGATGTTTTATGTAAACAAATAAAGTATCCAAAGGCAAATAGACAATACACAAAAAGCTTAATATTCTGCAGTTTTATAGTCTTTTTATTCCCGCAGTTAATCAAAGTTCTGATAATAATAAAAATTATTTAAGTGTGAAACTAAATTTGATACCAAGTATGCAATGATTATCTAAAAATTTTCCTGTATTTAAGTGAACACTTGTAACTGAGTATAGTTGTGTGACGCATCATTTCTTTCTCATACCTATTTATGGCAATTTATGCACTTGGCAAGATAATTCGATGTCACGCCTTGTAAAAAAATTCACACATGTGAAGTTCAGAAATAAAGTGGGCTATATCTGTATTGTCCCTGTTCTTTTTGAACTTACTATGAAGAGTTCTATATACTCATGATCGTTATACTCTTGACACTATATGAAAATACTCTTTTTGAAGATGATTTGTTAAAATAACTTCATATCTATATAAGTTCGGTATAATCTATGTCGCACACGCTCAAGTGTAATGACAGTTATTTTTACAATTACTCGATAGTATGTAATAAATAATGCGATGATTCAACATGATACGTTGTAATAGCAATGTAACATAACAGAGTGGAAGCTCGTGCTAGACAGAATACTATCTATTTGAATTTTCTAAACGCTTGTATTGAAGTTTTTTGACAGAAGAGGATGTAAAACTATGTATCCAGCGATTTACCTTAAAAAAGACTTGTAAGTTTTCTTCTGCGTTTGGCTACATGTTTATTTAAATCATTAAATTATAAAACTAACAAATTTTTTCGGAAGTTTATTTTTATTGCATCCTTGTGATTCCAATGCGTAGTATCCCTTTGCCTTTCTTCAGACGCGATAGTAAAGGTGTTTGCATTACATTTATTTCAAAATCCTTCTATAGCATTATATTATCGTTTGGTATTTATTAAAATATATTGTTTTTTTTTGTTTTAAACCAACGAGTAGTATCTCGCGAATAGAGATGAGGATCAATAATTTAAATTGATGATTCAAACAATGTTCTCAGCACCAGTAAAATTGAGTTTCGCAAAATTCAGATAGGTATGAATTATTAGGCCATAAAATATGCGTTATTTAACGGTTTTCAAGCACGTTTTGGTCACTACTATCGGTGGTGAATAACCAAACTGCTGATATGTTACCGGTGATTACCAATTTTTACGTTAATGACCACTTCTTTCTCACGTGATGTTCTGAGAGACACAGAACGTGAAAGAGACAAGAAAAGAGCAATTCTATGCCATGGCTCATGAATACTACAGAATTTGGTGACTTTCTCTTATTTTCAATTATTTTCATATTCGATGCCATTTACCAAGAAGATCTACTTTTATATTCTGTTTAATGTTCATCTACAATTCTGTTTAAGATATACGGCAATTCGCAAGTCTCAACTATGAAAATTGTTACAGGAAAGCTGAGTATGTACAAAAATGACGATACTCGCGCTTAATTCCATTGCCAAAAAACTACCTCCTGGAACAAAAGTGATCCCTCGTAAGCATTAATCCAACAAAATAAACATAAGGAAATATGCAGGCCTCGGTTTGTTTTTTCTTTTTGCCCTTTGCCAATTTACAATGTCACGTAATGAATGAAACCTTAGCAAATGTGACCCCTGTCGTAATAAATATTTGAAATATATAATAACGACATAATAGAAATGATTGACCTTGGTTAGCCAAGAGAGCAGGATGTTTGAATAACTTAATGATTTCTTTTTTGTCTTTAAGGAACTATTTCCTTTTAATTAACAAATTAACATGTAAAGTTAGACAAGAGGTTGCACGTGAGCATATGTTCGTCATTTTCTCTTCAAATCTGAAAAAGAAATTTAAAACTGAAGATGTTTAGAATAAATATATTTTCTATTTATCTATAATCAACAATGCTTTCCTTCAAACGTCAGTGTATAATATTGGGGCTGTGAATTTTATACATGGGTGTATTATCACCTATTTTTAAGTTAGTTCAAACATAAATACTTCTTAAATATCACAGTTATTCTAATGAATGTTATCGTGCAATAAAAGGAAAATTGGAAAGACAATAAACTGTTTATATAGTTTAAATTTCTCTTACAATACAACAACTACGGTATCATGCCCAGTTGCATAGCTTTTTTACAGTATCAAATAGAGAAACATCATACTTTGAAGGGCAGGCGCGACATTCATTCCTGTTGAGATATAATTTTTAAAGTTAAAATCATAATAACACTTAAAAGACTGAGAAAATAAGGCACTAGGTTATAAGCCATAAAGAAAAATGCCTTTAAAATAATAATAATTTTTTATTAAACGAAAATCGTAATGACGGTTGCACTTATCATCATGACATTTACTATACATCTAGAGGTGAGGAGAGTTATAAATGCATAACAATTTCATTGTTTCTTTGTTAAAAAGCACAGATCCGTAATAACTGTAAATTGATGAATTGTAACAAATGATACTCTACATTATTGGAAGAGCGCATAGATACAGGTCGAGAGAGAGCCATCAAAAATAAAACAAACAAAAATCATAATAGAGAACTTGGTGACACGCGTGCCATTGGATACGCGTTAAGCCTTAACACGCCAAGGCTCAAATGTAACATTTTTTTGCAGTGGCTGGAGGCCACGTTGCCAGAACATTATCTTTATTCAGAAAAAGAAAACATGAGAGCTTTAATCCGACGATAAACTCAATGGCAATTCTTTCGCATTTAGCAGAGCAAAACATCTCGACTGCCATTCTGCTTGAAGAAGAAATTGCGAAAATATATGTGGCTAAATTAATTTTGAGAATCTTGACGGTGCAATACACTAAACGTACACATTTCGTAACTTAAAAATACACTGTTTACAGAGATTAGTTTTGGGATGTAATCACCAGGAGTGCTATTGCAATTTCTAGATGTGCGATTAACGTATGATTTGTACCATATTTTGTAAAAGCAAAAAAGACCTCAATCATGATTAAACACAAGTGTAATCACCCAAAAAGTTGAGCAGTTCGACGAACCTCTTCGAGAGCCGCTACGGTTGGGTATTCAGAGAAATACTCAACAGAGCATTATGGACTCATAATAACGCAAGGACGAAATACCAGTGAGTTAAGCTATGACGTGAGACGTTGGAGGGTTCCTATATTCAGTTGCTTATTTCCCTTCGAAAGCTGGCCAAATGACATATACTGTCCGATGTAACAAAACCAATATAACAGTTGATTATGGAATAAAGTGTTGCTTTGGTAGGATTAGAAACATTTTACAAGTGTTCTGTTCCTTTTTTTAATGATCTTGTGTATAATTGGTCTTAGGTACTTATGGGGTCGACCTTTGAAAAATATATCAAGCAAAATAGTACCTGTATTTGCAGGCTCGTGTATTCGGCACTGATGTATCGAAGGTAAATAAACGTGCAATATAGTACAGTATGTTAGAACCTAATACTTGTCTTTGTTTATTTCAATTGCTACTGAATTTTGATTCAGATCTGGCACTTATTTAACCATAAGAACTCTTCTAAAGCTTGATTTACAAGTAGTATAAACCGTTTAAAGAAATGGCTTGAAAATGACTTTTTTTGACAATATCATAAGGATATCATATATCTTTTGTTTTGTTTTCCGCTTCAAGCTTTATAAAATCAAACTTACCTTATACAACCACCTCTTGTGTGAATTTCTTTGATCCCACTTTTGTACGGTGTTAACTCTCCTAAGGCCTTAGAATTCTTTAATGTGCTGTCAATAGAGAAAGAATCGTCAGCAATGAATCATATCATTGACCATCTCATCAACCAGAGTGTTAAAAAGAATTAAAATTCATCCAGGATAGTTGTAACATATCAAATTGTATTAGAGTCATAGAATCGTATTCATAACGTTCGATACAGTTAAAAGAGAGCTCGTAATAGTTTGATATACAGATAGCGTCTTAGTTGTATGAAGCATAAAGAGAACTATATATAATGTTCAAATAACAAGGAATACATTGTTTAATTGGCATAGTCTTAAAGTCGGTGAGAACACTTTCATAGGAAAGGCGATAAACCAATAGAAACGGGAACGTTGACCCCGTAAATAGTTGCCGAGCTCTAGAATGGAGTTTATTACTATAGATAATTATTTAAAAATCAGGCAATGTTTCTAAATTATCTTTTATTACGTGCCTCTTAAATCTATATCTAACAACTAATAGATGTTAACGCATACTTTATTGGTACTGCGATATAATCTGAGTTGATTGACATATCCCAATATGAAATAGTGAATCTACTTGTACATCGAACGATACACACGGTTGCTTCATTTAAGACACAATGAAATATGAGAGATATGAGCAAATCCTGACACAAGAAATGGTTGTACAGACTAACAGACTAATGTTCAATACAAAAGACCTTTTACAATACGATATTTCCTGAGAAACGAAAGGAACAATTTGCGCATGCTAGCTCAGTCTGCGAAAGGCAAAAAACCATAACTTCATAAATAATTTGATTTAATCTAAGTTATAGAATAATTTATTTTGATAAATTACTGATGCAAAGGCAAATGTTAATAATTAACTCTAAGTTAACATTGATGCATTCGGGTTATTTTAAATAAAAACAAATCCCCGGATTGGTGCATTCGATTCTGAATTAGAAAGCTTCGTATACAAGCATTAAAAATTAAACACCTGTTGCATTTAAGTGTGTAGAAATGCGTCAAATTGGTATATCTTCAATTACAAATACTCGGTAAAGGAGAACAAAGGTTAGCTAGTGTCACTATTAAAGATATAAACTCCTAAACTCGTGAATGCGAATTCCATGGGCAATATTCTATTCATATTCTCATACTTAGAGGCTTTCATCAACGTGATTTCAAGCGATGTCACCCGTAAAACAGTAATTTTGGCAAGTTGTAAGTGCATATAAAACATATTTTGATATTTATAAAAGATAACAGAAAATATGCGAGACTAACAATTCAATGATCCAAAAGCGTATTCATAAGTCCTATGATTGAACTATCATTTGTCACCAGTAATTAAAATCGAGACAGCAGGGGTTTAAGATAAAATTGTATTACCCTTGTAGTACATAATATAACACAATTGGTACTGTACACTTCTTTGATTATGTGGATTAGCAAGGTGGCATGTGGCAAACAGAAGTATACGTGACCGGTTTTTTCGCCAGATATTTTACAATATCATTTAACCGGGACGTTTTAGTACTATGACATAGTTAATAACACAAATTATGATAAACCTTATTCGAATAACTTTTTTCATACACTTATCTTATCAATGTTTATTATTGAATTTTGTGATTTGACAAATAATGTGGTTTACATTTACCTAGATTTTGTAAATGTGTTACAATAAACTGGATAAAAATGTGGGTTATTTTGCTATGCACTTAACTTCTCAAGATTTTGTAAAATACCTTTTGCAAAGATATGAAATTTGTCTTGAAATGTATATGACAAGTCCTACCTGTAGTCCATTTAAAATTGCAAATATGTACTGGAGGAATTCCGAGTTACCATCAATGTAGAACACCTCGACAATCCAAGTAATACCAAGAAGTGGAAGCAATACGCATAGTGCCCAAATGCTTGTTCTAAACACAATTATAATACATTTAATAACTCTTCAATTGAACAAAAGTAGTTACAAGCTTAAAGATTCTAGGAAAAATTAAAGACTGTGTTATTTAATGATTATTTATATTGAATTTAATCCCTGACAGGAATGAATACATTTACAAAAACTTCAATATGTCTTTATATCAATGTATTGATATTAACTGTATTTTTCTGACAGAAATGTACTTAAACATGTAATCGAAAAATTAAAACAACAAAAGACACAATTAAAATTTGATAAAATATGTAGCTGGTCAATGGAGTCCATAAGACAAACAACAATAACAACAATAAAAATTCAAAATACAAAACATATACTCACTTTACTCTTTTCCCAACAGGTTGTTTCTGCATTGCTCTTGTGCGACATATAGCACGTATAACCAGACATAGACATATGGCATTGAACTTAAACAACAAATAATTAGTTTATTATTTTTTTGATTTTTTCTTGATCTTTACTGTGAAAAATATAAACAAACAAAATAAAAATGCATCTTTAATCGTTTTGTTTTACATACATACATACACATAATGTATCGAGGTGGAAAACCTGTTTTCATACATTATACATTGTTATTGTAAAACGCATTCATTTTTATAAATTTTCTTTTAAACATTACTATTTTACGGTTTTATAAAGTAAAGGATTAAAAAAAACACGTTTAAAGAATTCTTACAGAAATAATAGCAATAGCCGGACCAACAAATGACCAGATCAACCCATTGTCAGACGTTAACCAGCATCTGAAATGGTCGAAAAAAGACTACTTACAGTATAAATAATAACAGATATAACAAAAAATTAATATGAAGTAAATTTTCACCATCAACATTTGTAAGAATGCATTCTTATGTAAAATTGTATCCTCTAAATCTAAATGGAGAAAGACACACATTAAAAATAATTGACTAGAAAATAAAATATATGAAAACAATATCCAGTCAAATATATCAATAATTAAGAAGCTTTTGCTGGCAAATTAATGTATCAATGTTACATAATTGAAACAGTATGACAAGACGTTAATGTTGCTTACATCTTCTTGTTCCCGTAGCCTTCAAGCTCTGACGAAGCCATTGAAATGCCAACAATGACAACTGGTAAACCTGAAAGATAGAAAATCCTTCACAATGTTCTAATTTGATCTGATAAAGTTTAATCATTGATGAAATAAAATAAAATGATTTCAGTGCAAATAACACAAACACATTAAATAATATTTAGATTTTTCTAGACTGAAAATTTAAGCATACCCCATGCCATTGCCAGAAGACTTTTCAGATTCAACCTTGTCTTGAAGACATATTGTACAGCTATGGCGATTTGGATTCCTTGTAGAAACATTATGCCAAATACTACCAGAAATATGTAATGCAAAAATACTGCTATAGCCGTACAAAGTTTCTGAAATACAGAAAAAACAATTATTTCAATAATTTAAAAAGCAAACCATAAAAGCCATAATATACATCAACTTACCAGAAAGCCATGAAAAACAAGTTCACTATTATTACGCTAGAAAACAAAACGAATGAATGTTAACTTGAGTTTTATATATATTGGCTATATTGGACCTTCATTATCAAAAACAAAACTGTTTTCAATCTCATTGACCCCTTCGCTATTTTCAAATGTCATTACCACGAATGTATATTTCATTTTTTATATCAAATCAGGGATATAATTAATTAAATAAAACCTACTTTGCGTTTTGTTCTGTTGATACCAATTAGAAAGACAAGGTAGGCCACAACTAAACATACACATAAATGAATCATCACAGTTGTTCTCTCGCTTCTCAACTGTCTACAAACACACAACAAATTGTAACAATTTAACAGATTAAACTGATGTGTATATTATAATGTCTGTTACTTCATTCAATATGAAATTGTCACAAACTTCAATACTTCATTTGATCATAATATTATAAGTTGTCATCATTTATGTCCTATTATGCTACTTTTGTTAGGAATGAATGTTTAGAAATATATCAAAACTCTCCTATGAACTATTAAAATACTATACTTCTTATTTATGCTAAGTTGCTAAGTTTTGTAACTTGAAAATCTTTTATGATTATAAACAGGTTTTTGTGATACATTATACTAGTCAACGTTGTGATATTGTATTATTTTTATGTGCTGAATATTTGTTGCTTCTTTATTCATTTTATGTTTTATTATATTAATGTTTATACATGTATGTAACATGATAAAATGCTGAATAAGTACTACCATTACTAAATTAACGTCACTGTCTTTCAAAGTACAAAACCACAATAATAATAAAAAAAAATAATTGACTTATATACTGGTATTGTAAGTTATATCAGTACAGTCATATCTATCAATTGGTTTTTATTGTAACACATGAAAGGGATTATTAATGTTATGTTTTGTTATTCAGTCATTGGTCAAATTAGAAGAGTTTAGATATACATGTATTTCTTAACATACAATCCTAACCAAAGTAACATAATGGGACATTTATAGCAAAGTGATGATAACTTTAGTAACTCATTTCATTGGCAATGTATGTTAAGAACGTATTTATATTATAGTTACAGAATGCTTTTGTCATGGTACCTAACATCATATGATTTCAAAGTTAACTTACTTCCAGAATGTAACGTGTAGAACAATGGTTGCAACCAAACAAAGTATAGATATAGAAAGACAGACCATTGAAATTACTCGAAGATCCCAAGCCGATTCTTCAGTCTGGAATAAGATATTTATATCGTTTTATTTTTTCTAAGTATTGTCCAGAAACTATTAAAGTTATATAGATAGAGTTACATTTAAATGTTTATATCTTCCCTATAAAAATACAGCAGATATATGATTATGTTAAATAAGCATTAACTATAAAATAGAGTGGAGAAGTGGAATGGAGGTTAATGAGTAATCTAATGTTTGCTGGCCGCAAAGACACATTAAAATTATTGCTTCCATTAACGGATACAAGTGTTTCAATAAGCATATAGCTTCCAACACAATCATGCTTAAATCAAATCAATCGAATAAACAAAGTAATAAGAAGTAAAATGTTGAAACTTGAAGGTAATGTTTGGGCCTTATTTCTTGTTTCTTTGTTTCCAATATATAGTATTTTCTTTATTATATAGAAATATAATTAACACCCTGACTTTTACATTTCATAGTAAAACATTTCTTGAAAAAAATCCAGAGATTACATTTGAACATTTTGTAACAATTAGTCCCAGTTTAGGTAAAAAACAAAAAAATGCAAACGACTCGCAGAATCGCATTGCGTTATTTCTTACTAAATTATTGTAAATACAGACACTACCTGTTTGATAGGGCTCATCAATACAGCAAAATTTGTAAGATGTGCACATTCACAAACTGAGACGTCATTGCTAGTTGAAATAAGCTCACATCCATCGTCTGACCATATACCCTGGGATTCACTGGTAAATGTAATCTTACATAATTATGCACACATCAAGTGTCAGGTTTATTCAGCTTAATGAGGTTATACATATATTTAAATAAAAGCACTGAATTTACTGAAAAGAAACGAAGCATTAAATTAGGACTAACAACATCTTAGAGCTTAAATCAGTTAAATATCGGTCAACTGTAAAAATCAATAAAATGTTTAGGTGGTGTTTAAGCACGTGTGGAAAGGTCGAGGTGTACCCATGAAAAATTAAATTAAAAATAATATAAAATAAAACAAAACAAAAATCACATTTGCTCGATATTACTTTTGTGTATCAAAACATTTGATACTATGTGTCGTTGCAACAAATGCCACTAATTTTCTGTACATTAACAATTAAAAGATAAAACGTTTAATATGTTTATTGTGAACAATTTAGAAAAAGCAAATGCCGTTGATTTATCTAACACTAGTAGTCTCTAGTTCTGAAATGCGTTTACTTCATTAGAACAATATAAAAATATTTTATCAGATAGCTAGTTAGATTATTTAATTTACTTTTAACAAAATAATACCTTTCCATTTGCCAATAAACGCATATTGGAGATGATAAAGTTTTCTGAAATATAAATAAGACATGACATTTATATATCGTTGAGGAATACATTTTTAACACTATTATTTAAAATCCAACGAATTAAACATTAATGAACTATTTTCTTTTAAAGATTACTAAAATCATTTATTCAATGATATCTTGAAATGAATGTTTTATTTAACCATTTTTAAAGTAAAGCAACTGGATTTTGCAACGTTTTTGCCACTTTGTATACTATTCTACACATTCATAGCAATTTTGTCAGTTGTTACTCACATCAAAATGCTCAAATGTAATGGAAATCGGAGGATTTAACTGCCTTGCTGAATATTTAGACGGTATCGTCATTGCAAAGGATTGGTCCATTTATTTTGTTTTTCTCTGAAGTTACTGCATCTGCACTATTTACATGATTTATGCGTGTATAATATTATTGCAAAACAATTTAAAGAGCTAACATTATTATTATAAAATATATGTTAAAATCTATCACATTCTAAGGAAAGTCAATTTCTATAATTTCTATAATAACTATATAATTTCTGATATCAAATACTATGTAAATGATTATATTGTTTACATTTGTACACTCTTAAAAATTGAATTGTTTAAACACATACAGGCTACAAAGGTTTTAATTTGATTTAGCATGACTTTGAGTAGAATAATATTATTTTAAATAGAATGTTAAAAGATATCATTAAAAATCTAAAGCTTTAATATTTAACCGTACCTTTTAGAATATGTATTTGGTAGAATACCACTGAGGTTCCTGTATACAACAGCTGTAGCAACGACTTGATCTGTTACATCTACATGTACGTCATAATGGTTAGAACAAGTGCAGACAATTTATGTTAATCAGCATTTTCGACATAAACATCCTGCATACTTAGAATTAGTATTATAACTCGTAAACTTTCATGTACAATAGTAAAGACAGTATTTCTTTATGCGGTATGCAATATTTATTCGTTTCATTTCTTTTTTGAAATCCAGAATGCAGTTTATCAAGAACATTTAGACGTTTATTTAATCAATTGACATGGTGACATTACTTTATAAGAATGGATATCATAAAACTACAAATTTCAAATATACACAGTATACAGAAATTAACAAGATATTCAAAAGTTTTTGTTTTTTTAAATGTGTTTGTCTTGCTACACAAAAGTATATAGTGTCACATGATACAAATTTTAAGACAGACAATGATAATTTAATCTTTATAACCATCAAATGCTTGTGGCTGCAATTCTATTTTGCTGTTGGCTGTGTTAAGCCACTCGATGTCAACGTTTTCGTCCGGATACACAATCTTGCTTTCTGCTAATGTTTGTGCCTGAAGCGCTGAAAATAGATGCTAATGATTAATGTTATCTAATAAAGTATTTGGCAAAAATCGGCTACTAATTGTTTTCTAATGCATGGCCCAATCGAAGAGCAATTATTGTTTTACCATTGTCCCCGGTAAGTCTATTTCATATACATTGTATATAATTGGTAGTAGTTTTCAATAGTTTCAGTGTTTAAAAGTCTCCTAAAAATCAGAGACAACGGGTTTACACTGTGTGGCTTAGCTCATTGAACACTGTGTGGATTGGCTAATGGACACTCGAAACGTTTGATGAAGTAGTTAAGTTTGACACAAATGCAAGCACTTACAATGTTTTATCCCGTCTTGTTCTCTGTAATGATTCCATGGTTTAAAACATCAACTGTTATAGAACTAACGTTTTAAAAGCCTTTTAAATGTTATTAGGGATATAATTAATTGTGTAAAACTTAAATTATCCTTAAATCATATCAGACGAAGTTATCTAAAGTTGAGAACATTGCTGGAAAAATATGTCTTACACAAACTTGTAAGATAAGTTGCGTTTCATGAAAAGAGGCCATTAAAGAATGAATTGTGTTCTCAAAGTTGTAAATTCAAAGTGCTAAATGAATTGTTTGTTTCCTTCCGAAATATTATTTATGAGTAATAGGCAAGAAAAGGATAAAATTTAGGCTATCGTTACAGATGGAAATAGTAACTGTTTACTATAGATAAAACTTGGCAGAGCCTTGTAATAGTCGAAAACAGTTACCCTCGAGATAGATATTCCGATATGTACCAGCAGCTAGTGTCAAATAGAGAAAATGTTAGGTTCTTATAATCTGTTGTTAAACAGTAGGTCCCGACCAGGGTAATTTAATTCATATCAGCATATTGTCTTTTTTAAGTAGTATACATCTGTGTCAAACGTCCCTTAAGTCACTAAAATTCATACCAATATTAGCTTTTTTTATATTTCGTATGTCACCAGGTTGCAAATTTTCACTGAGGGTTTCAGAAATTTGATCTACAGCTGACACTAGCTGAACTGCACTTGTACTCTCCTGAAACAAGATTATCCAATAATTACAACATCCTTTGTTTTTTCAACTATGAAAATTAGAAAAAAAGGTTTGTAAACTTGCCCTCTTTCAATGTAGACTTAATCGTTTCGTAGTATTCGTTCCTTGTAAAATATGTTGTTCATACACTTTTACAAAATTATTACATTTCAGTTTACCTTATTGTTCTAAAGCATGTTCATTTGCAACATTTGTAAACATAATTACACCACCGATCATAAATGATCATGTTTCATTTTATATTGTACGGGTTTCAGGAAATTAATCATCTTGAGAAAGAGTTTGTGGCTTTTAGTAGAAATAACTTTTTCGTAGCAAAAGAATGATACTGCATTACAGTTTCAAACATATATAAAGAAGCCAAAGATAAAAAACAACAGATGTACAGGTTCTGATTGCCAGGTGTCACTGTTATTGTTGTCAATGATATTGCCCACAGAATCAAAGAAACTCTGAAAGAAGAATACAAAAACGATAATTAGTACAAAAAACGAGTATTATCACAGCTACTTTTTTAATGACATTCTTCCATATGCAATATATAAATTACTTTGTTTGCTCAGTACACTATATTGTACTTTTGAATACATTCATAAAAGTTTCATGAAAATTATCATAAATAAAGCCATGTTGTTATAAATTTCATAGTAAATTGATAGTTTCAAACTTGAATATTAAGCAATATATTTCTTTCTAACATGATTTTGCATGAAAAAAGAGTTGTTGAGACAATGGACTTACATCTAAAATCGACTCATTAATCACTAACTGAGGTGGCAGTACAGTCGCAATTGTTTTCAATGACGTTGTAAGCAGTTTCATTTCTCCATTTGTTAACTTCTCACTTGCATTTTCTCTTTGAACTGTGGCGCTTACTATATCAGCCAAAACAGTATGAAAAGTTTCCGACTCTGAAGTATTACTCAGTGCATCAACCTTGGCAACGAGTAACATAAAATTTTAGTAATATTCATTATACACTTAACGAAACATATAAGTACCCCAAAAACAAACTTGCATTAAACACGTGTTATTTTAAAAATATGCACATTAGATAATGATTATATGTAATGCCCCAATTTGTCGTCTACTCTTAAGGATTCTATGCAAAATTAACCATGCAAAACCATACTTTGAGAGAGGTCGTTGAAAATCGAAAACGAGCACGTGCACTTCGTGCAACTGACCATAATGACCAATATAAACATGTATCGATAGAGTGTAGATGTACCTAACATAAAAGTACAAAACATGGATTGTATGTCGTTGCAAGAACGTGCAATCGCTATTGGACTTTTAGAAGCCGGAGATGTATTACTCAGTGCATCAACCTTGGCAACGAATAACGTAAAATTATATTCAGATCCGTTATATTTGCGCTGATAATAAACACTTTTTGCATATACGTACTTTTATTTGGAACAAACCAGTGCTTTTTACAGTATATATATTTAGCCGTAGCCAATCAAATATTCGGACTTCCATTTACATAGTGTCGAATGTGACCAAAATATAATATTTCAAGAATATTATGATTTTGACCGACTACAAAACGAGTCAAAGAAAGGAATTGCATTTTTAAAGAACTGTTAAAGTTTAGCAAATGTCAAGTTGTAACAATCGCAGTTCACGACGAAAAAATAACTTTATATAGTTCCGATAATAATGCTGCATAAACAGATTTAACAGGTTACTTACGTCATTTTTGATATTTTGTACGGCATCTCGTATGCAATTATACACAGGTAATTGCCATTTTCCACCGGAAGAACATGCTCTTGTTATGTGTCCTGGTTATGATGTAAATGATTATAATGATTTCTATATGTGACACTTTTAAATGGCACATGGAAATACCTAGACCTTAACAAGGAATTCTTGTTATTTTGTAAAACATCATCTTGGTTATTTCTTCTATGTCATTTTGGTGAAATGAATTGTTAGAAAAATACATGATCATGCAAATATCAAATCAATAATAAAGTATTTTCAATAACTTAACACAGAAGTTGTGCTGTAACCGTCACTGATGTGTCAATTAAAAAATATTATTCTGCATATTGCAAATAAAAAAAAAATACCACTAATCAGTTTTCATTCTGATTATGAGAAATCTAAACATGTAACCAAATTTTCTTTCTTTAGTTAACTTCATCATAATTCTTACCACGCCAATGGTAGTTTTACCTGTAAAACCTTCGCCACATGTTTTGTTTACTTCCATTCCAAGAAGTGTATAATCCCAAATTGTGCCTCTGTTGTCAGTTTCTCTGGTGCACATCTGTCTACCTTTAAACCATATAGCAAATTCAAATTTGAATACTCAAAAACACAGTAACTGTTATAATACTTACAAAATCTTGATACTGTTACATATCACAAAGTTTTTGTACAAACATTGATTCAATTAGAAAATTGATTTGACAGGACATTTCAAAGATTTTAAGTATTAAATAGTTAGTTTTCGTATGTTGTTTGATTTTAAAAATCACACCGACACTTTGCATCACGCTCGTCTGTCTCTTAAAACAAAAGCAGATGCACTTCTAAACCATTACAATAATGTTGAAAACAAGCACTTGACCATGTCCAAATGGGCACTATAAAGAACTATTAATTTAACAACATAGATCAGTTATACACCTTAAATGACACCTTTATTCAAAATTTAAACAAAGTTTACCGTATGGTTAACGTGTTAAGGAAATTAGAAACTAAAACTTGGCTTTTGAAAGGGCTATTTTTCAGAAATGAGTAACTCAACATAGTCTATTATATAATCATTATGAAAAAAATATTTTCCTTTTGACCATTACTACGAATTAAATAATAACATTCAACTAACAAATGACAAAAACAAAATTATTGTTTTTAAATATGTATAAAAATGTTTCCCTCCCCCATCCATTGATAAATTTTGTTTGACAATTTTTCTTATTCAAAATAGCCTAAATTAACCAAAATGAAGATCTGTTTACAAAGTTTGCCTTATTTTTTTCAACGTATATTGTTTTATATTTTGAAATATGAATTACTTTTACCGTCTAGGTTATATTTTATTAGACTTCAAAACATCAGGTACCAAAAATTGGCAAAATTTAATCAATGAATACCGATAATAATTTTAAATGTAAAATAAAACATTTTTGCTTGCAAAGAGTAAAATGACAGACATATAAATAATGTTCAAAGAAAAAAAGAAAGAAAACAGAGTTGCATTTTCTGGGGCTTGAACCGCCGCCCCTCAGTTTTGACATTGATAAACTGTTGAATGGATAACTTTTGAAAGCAATGAAATTAGGTAAATTAAATGAAGAATCATTTTAACAGGCAAATCGATACTCACTTGGTTCACATGTTGGTGCAGCACCATCCCAACCAGTATCTTGCTGACAAGTTCTCGTTGCCGTGCCAACAACCTTGAATGTGCTAACACAAGTGTATTGTGCAACATCACCAGTATGAGTACCGTCTGGGGTAGTAACTGCGCCATTGTCCGGATCAGTCAGATTTCCACAATCTAGAAATTTATATGAGTTTAATAAACATAATACCTGAAATTTAACGTTTGGAAAAAAAGAGTGATATGGTACATTTTGTGTGACATGCTGTACTTTTACGTTACTTTTCTCTTTTATTGTATGTTATCATTATAAATAGCAAAAGCGTTATTTAATTGTAAAACTGATGATGATAATATTCAGAAAAAAATCCCAAACATTTTCACACTCGAGCAATTAATAAAATAAAGATTTCATTACATTTTAATCATATTGCAAGGTTTTTTCGTCTATATAAAAAATTTAATGTTAGCTCTATGATATTGCCCAACTATGTTGCATGCATATCTTTAAACAAAACTTCTCATACGAAGTATTCGTTCGTTACGGAATAAAATTCTTACTATATTCGCAAGTAATGTCGGTGGCAGTTGCTGTATACCCGACAGGGCATTCACATAGCAAGGTTCCTAAATTACAATACGAGTTGGTGAGGAAATTCGGACAATTCGCTTGTGTTGCCACTGTGCATCCTGATTTAAACAAAATTCATCATCAATGTTAAAAAAGGAATACCGAAACATTGATAGTATTAAAAACACTCATTTATAGTCATTGGAAAAGCATTCTATAATTTGATTTCTTCTTTATAACCCTGGACAAATGGTGCAGAAGAACAATGATATATTCATTTAAAAGAATATCACTTAACGCACGGGCATCACTCACAATTTACAATTTATGATCGTATGTAATTAAAGAGATTCCAAATCAAGGTAAGAAATTACATCTTCTTATTAATGAACATTAAATATAAAATAATAAGAGAAACGGCTACTGTTTACTTTATAATGTACGTGTACTTAGTAGAATATTTCAGTTTTGTAACTCATCTAATGGTAAGTAAATAATTCAATTAATCAACTATGCAAAAGTCAAAGTGCTTATACTCGTACATCTAAAATATTTTATCTTAGATTATCTTATAAACATTGGAACTGAGCACTTTTTATTGCAGCGACAATGTTTTGCCGATGTATTCTTGGAATGTAATGTGGCGTTAGTATTGAAATACTGGTGTCTCTGATAAATTACACAGAATGCTAAATGATCTGTAGTTTGTTGAACCATTGAAGGCTACAGGATGAAGTCTCTGTCCCTCATTATACATTTTTCTACATTTTTTGCTTAACCGGCATCAATTTTCTTAAAATGACAGCAAACGAATAACAATTTCTACTAACTTAACCTTTATACTCATATAACAAAACAGAAATTTACACGTGGTCATCCCTCAAATAATTTCCTAAGATGATGTGTCAGAAAAGATAATCTCTCGAATTACATACAGTATACTTTGTAAATAGACTTCGAAAACAAAAATAATATTTAGGTAAACGATAACACATATTCTTATCTCTTAAATAAAATGTAATCCTTTTAAAACTTGTACTGTTTGTATCACATGTGTGACCACTACTTTGCAATTATTTTAGTGTTTAATTACAATACATGAATGCAAACCATGTGTAAAAAACAAGTATTATTATGTAATCAAAGGTTCATATTATTAAAAAGATAAAATTCTCTCATTGTGAGCTCGCCAGGATAAACTTATAAAAGAGAAGTTTAACTTTCAGTCATATACATGTATATTGTAGCAAAAGCTTTACCAAATAAACAATAAGTAAGACACGCATTTGCACGTACCCGTCACCCCTATCTGCCCCTTCACGTCTGCAATAAAATATCCCAGTATTAATAACAGAATTAGTGTCTTCATTTTCAGAATCACCTCTAGAGTAATTCCATTCCTTTAAACACTAACGAATTTGCACACTATATATAACAATTGATTTAATTATCAAATAATGTTAAATGTATATGTAATCAATGTCTCGACCGAGGGCAAAATAAATTGACTGTATATTCGTTTAGATATGAACATAATGTCTAGTGGTTATTGGTTTTGATCCATTTTGACAATAGGTTAAATGTATCACACATCTTTAGTTATAATCAAGAAAAACAATAGAAGATATTTAACAGTATGCATGGTTTAAATATCATTGCCAAACTAGTGTTAAACTTGACAGCATTTGTAATCTTTTTCAATTAAATATGCAAAGATATTTTCAAGGTTAAAAAAAAGTTCAGACTTCAGCAGGTAGCCTTGTCATGCTATATACTAATAATTTCAATTTGTGATGAAAGTAGCAAAACACAAATGAACAAAGTAGCATAATTCACTTTAAACAGTTCAATCATGATTAATTGGAATTAACACTCTTGTTGATGCCTAAATTGATGTTGACCATTTCAGAAACAAAGATCATTATTTAGAAATCTACTGCGCGGCGACACAACAACATTAACACTTTTATATTTTTATTTCAGTTTTAATACAACATGAATGCCAAAATATGAACAAAAAATATTAAAAGAACGCTAAAAAAAGGTTTAATAAAAGGAAAAGGACATTGTAAACATATATAATGAAAATTATCTCTATTAAGCATTGAAAACTTGTATATAGGTAAATCATTTTAGTGTAATAATTCTAGAAATGGGAATATAACGTAAATGCTTACAAATCGCAAAATTGGTTTAATCAGTTATGTTCATGTGAGCCATTAAAAGCTGCAACACGTCCAACGTCCTAAAGTACTGTATCGAGAAGAATTCAAATCTCAACACCAGAAGCATAATGTATTTGAATTTTAGTTCCTTTTCAGCAGCCATGTTACACTTTGAATAACTGTTTTAACAATGATGTCGGTGTGAAAAATACTTAGAAGCAAAGTAACAAAAATTGATAGAGAGATCTCCCCCTGATATAACGTACAAGAGGACATTACTTCTTTCGGTCTTTTTCTTGCCGAATTAACAAGAATTTCGGATTCACATACAATGTATTCGATTCCTTGTATAGCAGCTTACGCAATTATACACTGGTTATTGCCAGATTTCATCGAACATACTCTCTCTTTTGATGTTTCCTGTCATTACAATATATCTATTTGTATAAAATATGCATGTTGACTACTTTGATTTTTGTTTTCCTGTTTAAATCAATGAAAAGTGAGAGCAATATAATAGTTGCATAATTACTATCGGCATCCATCGAATCATTTGCATTCTTTCAAAGCTGGAAAGGATATTATTTTTATTTTCTCTCCGTGTGGTTAATCAGCTAAAGTTGTGTGCATTACTCTTGTTCACCACCTCTCTAGAAACAGTATACTTTCAAACTGTTCCCCGGCTGTCGGCATTGTTCAGACATTATCGAACATCATGAATATGAATATGAACGTCGAATATACATTACCAAGCATTTATACTAAACGAACTGTAGTCTCGTATGAAACGGCCCTATACGTTGATAGGCTACACATAACATGCAGCCTATATTAAATCTAAATTTTTATTAGTGTCTACAAAAAATACGACAACAACAACAACTGCAAAAAACACCCACACACTCACACACATGCCCAGGCATTCGCACACGCACACAGATATATCAAACAGTCTAAGAGCTAGTGTGAAATATAAGCGTGATTAAATTAATAGAACTGGTCATTGAAATTTGTTTTCTCCTGTTCTTTGAATATGCACGAGAACATATTGTCCAAATGAATATTTTTTACAATGATTTAAGTATGAACTATTTGTTTGGATGCCGAAAATCAAATCAAACGTACAACATACTTGCGAATTTGCATTCTCACCTTTACAGACATTTTAAGGTTAAGTTTGTTTAAGATTAGGTGTCAAGAGGTTAAAAAACGAAGTAATGTATATAATTTGATGATTCATGAATGAAAATACTTTATAATATGTATGTTTTTGTTATAAAATTGACTTATATATAAACATGTAGTTATCTATCAGATATCTTTATTTGACCCTCAACGTCTGCAATAAAACATCTTAGTATTAATGACAGAATAATTTTCATCTTCGTTTTAGACAGTCTTACATATCGCGCATTGTAAGTTATGTTTGATCAAACATTAGTTGATCCATTTATATAACTCGTTAAGCAATTTATTCCAACTTTGAAATAATCTGAAATGCAGACGAATTTATTTGCTTTATATAGCACATTAAATGATCCCATATTCATCGAGATATGTTATTGATTTTTGCACTTTTGACAGAGTATTATATGCTTAACACATTAACTACAATACTATAAAACATGCTATATAAATGGTAATAATCATAAAGTGTATCCCCTTGTCTCTTTATACAGTATATCAAATTTATCAACTGATTATCTAGATGTCAACAGTTCTTAAGGTTGCATTGTTTGGCCACTTCCATTCCGTTTCCAATTTGCCTTTGTTCTTTATTTCATATCAACATATTCTATCACATAAAAAATGACCTGTTGAATGATTGTAAGGTAGATAGCACTTCATTTTGGAAATCTATTGGTAAAATCGGTGTAGGTTTTTCAAAAACCAAACCAATTCCAATGGAAGTTATTCTACCAAATGGAGAACTATCTACTAATGTTGACGATGTGTTGTTTAAATGGAAACACGACTTTAGTTCATTGTTCCAAAATGTGAATTTATCAAATATCCCATTTAACGTTCACAATATTGATAGTGTACATGAAGACACTCTTATATTTAATGATAACATCCACATCTCTATACTTGAAGTTAAAAAAGCTATTGAAAGTGCGAATCTCTGTAAAGCATGTGGATCCGATAATATTCCTGTAAAGGTTTTAAAAAATGACACATCAGTGTATTTTCTTCATGTTTTGTTTAATGCGTGTTTTAATACGGGGGTTATTCCTACCTCATGGGGTAAAACTGTTATAAACCCTATCCCAAAATCGTCCACAGCTGACCCGAGAGACCCACTTTCATATAGAGGTATTGCCTTATCATCAGCCATGTACAAACTTTACTGTTCTATTCTTAACAGTCGTCTTAGTTCATGGGCTGTAGATAACAATAAATTACATGACGAACAAAATGGATTTAGAAGGAAACGTAGTACACTTGATCACATTTCATCTCTTTCTAGTATTGTTGAAACAAGAATCAAACATAAATTGTCAACATTTACAGCCTTTATAGATTTCAAAAAAGCTTACGATTTTATCAATATAGACATGCTCTGGATGCGTCTTCAAGAGTCGGGCATCTCTGGTAAAATGCACCGAGCTATAAGTTCTCTATATTCATTTGTTTCGTCATCAGTACGAGTAAACTCACTGAACACTGACTGGTTCGAGGTTCGAACCGGTCTCCGTCAGGGTTGTATTCTTTCGCCTCTGCTTTTTAACTTATACATCAATGATTTGATTACATATTTGAAATCATTCAATGTAGGAATTGATATTGAAGGTGAAAAAATTTGTATTTTATTATATGCTGACGACATTGTGTTGCTTGCTGAGAACTCAAATGATTTACAGTGTCTGTTAAATGTTCTTAATGACTGGTGCTCTGTAAATGATATGACTATTAATTGTGAAAAAAGCAAAGTTGTACATTTTAGACATGTCGCAATTACTAGATGTAATACAATTTTTACTTGTGGCAACGATATATTTGAAATTGTGGATAGATATAAATATTTAGGTCTAATTCTAACTGAACACTTGGACTTTAATATAACTGCTAAACATGTAGCTCAAAGTGCAGGTAGAGCCCTAGGCCTTGTTATCGCGAAATGCAAGAGTATAGGAGGCGTTCCATACGCTGTCTACACCAAACTTTATTATTCCATTGTGTGGCCCGTGATAAACTACGGTGCAGCGGTTTGGGGTGACCGGTCTTTCTCATGTGTTAATGCCGTCCATAATAAAGCCTTGAGGTTCTTTTTGGGTGTTGGTAAATATACACCTAACGCGGCACTTGCAGGTGAGATGGCCTGGCAACCACCAGTTGTTCGCCAATGGAAATCTATATTTACGTTTTGGGCTCGTTTAAGTAATACAAACTCGTCCAGGCTGAATAAGAGAATTGCTCTTTGGGCTCATGGTAATGCAAACAATAATTCTAAAACTTGGTATTTTCGTGTTAAGTCGAAATAGTTTGAATGTAGACTCAGCCATTTTTATGACATTTCTAACTATGTATCAAAACATGCTATTGTTGATAGTGCTATATGTTTTTTGATGGATAAATATGTATGTGACTGGAAACAGCTTATCAATAGATCTGTAGGTAGTTCAGGTAGAGGAAGAAATAAACTAAGAACATATTGTACTTTTAAGAAAGATTATAGTGTTGAGAATTATTGCACCATGATTATGCCACCTTTACACAGATCTGCCTTCTGTAAATTTCGCTGTGGGGTTGCTCCCATTAGATTAGAAACTGGAAGATATGAAAACTTAAGTCAACAAAACCGTACTTGTCCATTTTGTGTTAATAACGTTGAATCAGAATCGCATGTTATCTTACAGTGCTCACTTTATGATGATTACAGACAAAACTTATTTCATAAGGCGGCAGCCGTCGATCCAGAATTTTATAACAAGTCAGATAATGATAAACTTGTGTTTCTTTTTACAAATACCTCCTTAATTAGAATATGTGCCAAAACCTGTTTCGATATTCTTAATAGACGTAAATCTTATCTTTGTAAATAATATTATGGTAGATTATTATTATAATTTTTATTTTACTTATTTATTTTTTTTAATGACATAAGTGCTCCTCTTTTAACTACAAAGTCGTAATGTTTTATTCTTACTTATTCTAACATAGAGCATAGTTTTATCATGTAAATAGTCATAATTATAAAATGCTATATATATATTTATGTGTTTTATACATTTGTAGTCTCCTGTAATTCTGTATAGAATGGTTATATACATGTTCTTATGATATATTTAATGTTGTATTATATTGTACCATGTATATAGATGAGACTTTAATAAATAAATAATAAAAATGTTATACTTCTTTTTGCTTTAAATTTTCTTAAACAATCGCCGTATAGTATATGCAACTAAATTAATTGTTATTCGCTGTTGCAAAATGCGTGTTAAACATGTATAACTGATAACATTACTGTTATTTATTCGAGCATAATGAAAAGCAATATCATGTTCTATATTTAATGCTTATTCAACTAAATATTATATAAAAAAATCACAATTCTGCAAGCGTTAATAAAGTAAAAAAGAAATTAAAATATGTGTTAACTAACAATAATATTTAAAGTCATTTAAAAATTATTTTGAATGAATCTTCACAGGTAAGTATATAGAATGATTAGAAACAGTAGAACAGCTTTGATGCATTGAGATTCATTAGACTGATTAAGTTCTGGTTTCATCATGAAGTATACAACTTACTTATACAACCTGTGTAAACTTTCATGATGATACTTTCTGATTACGCACTCTCATTGCTGTTATGACCTGTATTAATTAAGATTGTTATGCAATCGAATTAGGTATTTTCATATATAAGATACTAGATCATTACCCCCATAGAAGATTACGATGACAATATCAAATTTACAAGAAATGGTTCATTATAAAAGGTTGTTGACAAAATTTGAAAATGTGTTACATGTATTTAAAAAGATGAGGTTGAGTTCAATAAGACGGTCGATACTAATGTAGTTACATCAATCTTAATAAGCAGTAATAAAAATGTGTTTGATGTTTAAGTGATAAGTGTTTTATCTATTTTACCACTTGGAATATCTAAATATTGTGTCCATATAACAAAGTAATGCACATGTAGTACATAAATTGTGATTGTATTCATTAAAATAACGATGTTGATGGGGTGTAATATAAAATACAGTTAAGTTTTCTTTCCAAAGAACTATAAATATAATGCAATGTTCGGGTAAAATATCAAGTTTTTCGATCGGACTATAGAATATACATTAAAAAGCTTATCAACAAACTTAAGTGTTTTTAAGGTCGTTTGCAAGAATTTTTTTTAAGGGTAATCTTATTACAGAGGGTGTCTTTCTTGATCTTTGGAAGGTTATGGAGAGTCAATCTTTTAATGAGCTTTTGCTTGAAGGCACAGTATGCCTCAGAAAAAATATATAAAAAGTTACACATTTAGAAAGGGAAAACATGAATTTTTTAATGTTTAAATAATGGTATGGTTTTAGAGAATTTTTTTGTTTGTTTTGGGTTTTTACGTCACATCGACACAGTATAGGTCATACCGCGACGTTCCAGCTTTACTGGTGGAGGAAGACCTCATGTGCCCTTCCGTGCATTATTTCAGGCACGAATGGGTACCTGAGTAGAACCACCGACGTT